TGGTAATAAACCACTACAATGTAAGTGGATTTTCACGAGGAAAATAAAAGCGGGTGTACTATTGATAAATATAAGGCTAGGCTTGTAGTAAAAGGATACAAGCAACGAGAAGGTCTTGATTATTTTGATACTTATTCACCTGTTACTAGAATTACATCTATAAGGATGTTAATTGCCATAGCAGCGATGTATAAACTTGAAATCCATCAAATGGATGTTAAAACGGCCTTCTTAAACGGGGATTTGGAAGAAGAAATATATTTGGAATAACCCAAAGGGTTCATTGTTCCAGGACAAGAGAAGAAAGTATGTCGGCTTATCAAGTCACTCTATGGATTGAAACAAGCACCGAAACAATGGCATGCTAAATTCGACCAAGTCATGTTGTCGAATGGTTTTAAGATTAATGAGTGTGATAAATGTGTATATGTTAAGAACACTCATAATGGTTTTGCCATTTTGTGCTTATATGTAGACGACATGCTTATAATGGGCAGCGATAGTGAGGTTGTTAAGGCGACCAAACTCATGCTCACAAGTAAATTTGATATGAAAGATATGGGAGTTGCAGATGTTATTTTAGGAGTTAAAATCCATAAGACATCTGGAGGATTAGCTCTATCACAGTACCATTATATTGAGACGATTCTTGAAAAGTGCAAGAATCTAGATATTGTACCAGTAAAGACTCCGATAGATGTTAATTCACATCTTTCAAAGAATACTGGTGAAAGCAAAGCTCAAAATGAGTATGCTAGTATACTAGGCAGTCTAATGTATGTCATGAACTGTACTAGGCCGGACATAGCTTGTGCTGTGAGCAAGCTAAGTCGATTTACAGTTAGTCCAAATGAAAATCATTGGAAAGCCATGTAACGTTTATTGGGCTACTTAAAGCATACTCAAGATTATGCTTTGCATTACACAGAATATCCAGCGGTACTTGAAGGATACTGTGATGCAAATTGGATAACCGGCACTAAAGACACAAAATCGATAAGTGGATATGTATTCACACTTGGTGGGGCGGCAGTGTCTTGGAAATCATCCAAACAAACTTGTATTGCTAGATCCACTATGGAATCACAATTTATTGCTTTGGATAAAGCCGGTGAAGAAGCAGAGTGGCTTCGAAATTTCTTGGAAGATATTCCGAATTGGCCTAAACCAGTGCCCGCTGTTTGTATACATTGTGACAGTCAAGCGGCAATAGGAAGGGCAAGGAATGTCATGTATAACGGTAAGTCTCGACACATACGTTGAAGACATGACACAGTAAGACAACTTCTTTCTAGTGGAATTATCACCATTAACTATGTGAAGTCAAAAGATAATGTTGCGGATCCATTGACAAAAGGCCTAACTAGAGAGATGGTTGCGAAAACATCAAGGGGAATGGGTTTAAGGCCTATAAACAAGTCATCATAGCGGAAACCTTACCTAGTTGACTGGAGATCCCAAGATCTAGGTTCAAAGGGACAACTAAGTTATGAAGACAGTGTGGAGTACTGTCAAATTTTTGACTCATTCCCGGATGAAGACAGTACTAATATGTGAAGGTTAAGCAAAAGCTTTTAATGATTCTGAATTGAGTATGTGATATACTATATGTTCAGAAATCACCTATGTGAGTGTGAAGTGAGGGCCGCTTCTGTGAGAATTGAAAAGGCTGAATTCTCTAAAACACTCATGAGACCAGGCGGTGTTCATGGCCAAAACGAACACAACAGTGAGAACCAATTTTGTTCGAGAAACAGTTGTGTGATTTCTATTGTCTAGGCTTACACCAAATGTCGACGGTTCAAAGACATCAAGTCTACTGATTGACCGAGTAAGTCCGATAGGTTTCACTAAAGAAAGTTCAAAGTCTCAGACTACTTATCCTGATGCAACGTTTTCTCATGGAATAATCGCACATTGCATCTCATGCATATATGAAGAGTCAGGAAAAATTGAATCTCTTATTCATGTGGAGGATTGTTGGAATTTTGGGTACAAATCCCTTGTAAAGTAAATAAGAGGTGTGGATGGAGGAGTCCCACATTGAATAGAAGAGAGATGGGAGATGAGTTTAAATAGTTGAGCCTCACAAATGGGTTTAGGCCCCAAGGGGTACCCCACTTTTGTGAAAGAGAGAGGACCTACGCCAATTCCCCCCCGCTCGCGCGCCGCCCGTCCGGCCGGCTCGGCTTGGATCGGGACGGGGTCTGCCCATCGGTTTTGTTTTCCCAACCGAACAGTCATGTTTGTTTTCGAATTTTTTATTTTATTTTATTCGAACAAATATGTTTGATGTCTGTTTTGTTTTTGGACGAATGGACATGGTTCGGTTCTTGGAAGTTAATTTTCTCTTTGAACGAACACTGTTCGTTCGTGACTCTTCATTAATAAACCGACCGCTAGTTCATGACTGAATGAGACAATTCGGTTCGTTCGTGACTCTTCATTTTTTTTTAAAAACCGTGACTATATATTGCAGTCGGTTTTTTCCGAAAAAAATCTTCTTCGCATTTTTTGACATTTCTGAAACACATTCATTCTTTGCGATTGTCTATGCAAAATTGCATTCGAAGAAGTCCTCTGGATACGTACCACTTCAGAGGAACGAAATCCGTTCTATCTTGGGAGACGATTGTCCAATATCCTCGGGTACTGATTGAGGGGCCAAATTCGTCTTAAGGACACAACGTTACTTCGTTAGGCTCGGATCAACATCCTGTTTATTTATTTGTACTGCTTTCAGATTAGTTTTCTTGACGTTTGATTTCAATTTCTGGTATACGAACTTAGCCGACTACAATAGCACCGTCACGGGCGAAGAGCAGCGAGCAGGGCAAGAGTGGCTCGAGTTGCAGGTTGAAGCTCCAAGCGAAATGCCAAGGAAGGAGACGACAACTTCCTCTCTCTCTTCTTCTTAATGATATCTCTCTGTGTTTTGTCTTTTTTCTTTTCTTTTGGCTCTTGTCAGACCAAAAAGAGAGTCCCCCTCATTATTGTAAATGAAGCCCCTTTTTATATGCAAGTGAAGCGGTCTTCGTAGGGAAACGACCAGCTCTTCTTTCCTCTTTCAAGATATTCGTACATTACGGCCAAAGATACATTCCTCCACGAGTAAGATTAATTTCCCTTCTTTTGAATGTGATTACATCTTTTAGTGATATGTCCCTATTTTTTCCTTTAATCCCTTTTGACTGAATATGGCTTCAAATCTTGCACGATCAATCTCCCAATTCAACAAACTTCCCAATGAATTTCAGCCATGAGAATTAATGGGCTAGGTCAAATTTTCATCACCGCGGGCTTAATTTGATTAAGCTCAGAACTATTTACTCAAGTCCATCCACCGACGGTCCAAATGCAACTATATGAGCCTATTACTACTAATGCTCCTAAATTCTATATGCAATGCATTATTTTTGTTTAGGGACTAAAGATTAGTCCCTAATTTTTTATGCAATAAATTCTTAAGGTTAGCCAAAATTTAGGTGTCAACAATTAAACTTGTCCTATCTTAATCACAGTGATTTATTTGGAAAGGGAGACCCTAAATGCACTGCTAGATTCGTTGATGGTTTAATAATGACTCTTGTGCGTTTGACATACGAAATACAGATTCGGTTCGTCTAGCAATCAATGCACATACAAACGACGCCATACTTAGGTCACCCATCTTGGTCTCGATTCACATATTTCTTGGTTCATAATTCACGAGACCATGAGCGTATTTGCTCCATCACCTAGCCGTGGGCTTTTTTGCCATAAAAGAAACTGGGATAAGTACCAAAAAAATTTCTAAACTTATTATGCGAATACCAATTCAATCTGAAACCTTTCTATTTAGTCAATTTAATTCTAAACCTTTTGACGGTTTGCCATTATAATTCTTCCGGCCAATTTTGACCGGAAATTGTTAACTTGAATAACGGTCGTCCTACGTGGCACGGCTGGCCCTGACGTGAACAACTTTTCTCAATCTTTTTAAAATAATTTATCGTTTTTCAGAATTATTTTTTATTTATTTTTTTTTTCCTTTTCTTTTTTCTTTCTTTTGTTTCCACGTAATTGGAGAGGGTCTCCGTGGCTCGCCGGCCATTGGACGAGGGTTACAAAGTCCCCGCTCACTATAGGCAAGTCCATGGTGAGGCCGCCTTACCAAGATAATGGCGAGGCCCTCGCCTGCGACCGGTGAGGCCTTTGCGGTCCTTGCCCATGGCCAACATGGGCTTTACTTTCCTCACCCAGTGGCCGGCGGACTCCATCAACCATCACCGGCCAGAGTGAAAAAGAAAAAGAGAAGAAAGAATGAAAAACAAGAAAAGGAAAAAAGAAGAGAAAGAAATAAAAAATATTCATAAAAAATAAAAATAAAAACTGTCCACGTTGGCATCAGCAGTGCCACGTAGGATGGTCGGCGTCCACATTTACTATTTTCGGCTAAAGTTGACCGGAATGACTACATTGACAAATCGTCAAAATTTTTTTTATTAAATTGGCAAAATTGAAAGGTTTATAATTAAATTGGCATTCGTACAATAAGTTTAAGAATTTTTTTGGTAATTTTCCCAAAGAAACTAGATAGAATGACGAGATAAGTGCATTAGAAGTCCCAAAACTTGTCACGAAAGTGCAATTAAGTCCTAAAACTTTCAAAAAGTGCAATTAAGTCCCAAAGCTTATCGCAAAAGTACAATTGAGTCCTAAAACTTTCAGAAAGTGCAATCAAGTCCTAAAACTTATCAAATTGATCTAATCAAGTCCTTCTATTGATTGCACTTTTTGAAAGTTTTAGGACTCGATTGCACTTTTTGAAAATTTTAGGACTCAATTGAAATTTCGTGACAAGTTTTAGGGCTTTTAGTGCACTTATTCCGTAAAAAGACATAGGAGATCAATGAAGTATTGTCCAAGATTGAGCATCCGTTTCATCAATTCTTTTAGTTCATGAGAGTAATCAAAACTTCAATTTAGCATATAACATCTAGTTCATTCTGATTTATTAGGCCATGTCACAGTCGACTTGAAGCAGTGGTTTGCGAAGTTGACCCTGAACGTGATCCTCAGAATCGTGGCCCGAAAGCGCTACTCTGCGGCGGACGAGGAAGAGGAGCAGCGGTGCCAAAAGGCGTTACGGGAACTCTTCCACTTCTTGGGGATGTTCTTAGCGGCAGACGCTCTTCCTTTCCTGAAGTGGCTCGACTTGGGCGGACATGAGAAGGCCATGAAGAGGACTGCAGAAGAACTGGACGACATCATCGGTGGTTGGTTGGTGGAACACAAGAAGAACAATAAGGATTTGAGTGAGACCGATGGAAACAGAGATTTCATGGACATCATGCTTTCGATCCTTAACCATGACAAAATCGGAGGTTATGATGCTGATACGATTATAAAAGCTACATGCTTGGTAAGTATTTGGTCACTGCCCGTTGGAGCAGTCTTTTCTTCTTCGTAATGCTATTTGCCCACATATCAAGTAGTAAGGGGGGCGATTGTCTATAGGTTTAGTTGATTAGTTGATTTCAACTAGGGTGAGAATGGTCCAGGCGGTCCAGTTCTAGAGTTGGAATCATATAAATCTAACAGGGAGGGACGTGTTCCTGAAAACGCGGAATTGAGAACCGGACCGATTAACAGTAGAACGAAGCCTGAAACCGAACCGGCCTAGGCGGGTTTTGGTTAGAATTGCGAACTAGTCTAGTCCTACAATTTTTGTCATTTTCAGTGTATCAAAAAATAGATAACCAATTTTCTATCTTTCAAATAAAGACTCTCTCCCTTTTATGTTATGATATGGAAAATACGCACATTGAACAATCACATTGTAATAATTAAGTTTGATAATTAAAAAGTACTTAGATTGGAAATCTGGTACGTTAGAAAACCTAATTTGCACAAAAGCAAAAGCTCGAGCACTCAATTTGGAAAGCTGCTCAAATTAGAGGGGCTAAAGTTGAACTAAAGTTTATTCTTGTATAATATTGTGGACCTATTTTCATTTTTAAATTAACAATAGCCTCCCCTATTTTTTATTCGTTATTGGACCAGATGACCATATTTTTCTTGCCCATATGAAGTGGAAGGCCAGATGAATTTAGGCTGCGAATGATGTAGTAGTTAATCTTCATATCTCCCTCCTAACTTGGAAAATATGTTTGTCGTATTTAAAGACGATGATTGCAGGCAGCAGTGATACCGCCATGGTTACCCTGACATGGGCAATCTCGTTGTTGCTCAACAACCTTCACATCCTGCAAAAAGCTCAAAAAGAGATCGACGCTCAGATCGGCAAGCAGAGGCATGTGAAAGCAGCGGACATCGCCGGCCTGACCTATCTCCAAGCCATAGTGAAGGAGACCCTCCGATTAGCGGCCCCAATCTCGGCGCCGCGCCTGTTCACCGAGGATTGCATTGTCGGCGAGTACCACGTGCCCAAGGGCACGAGGTTGATCTTGAACATCTGGAAAATCCAAATCGACCCCAGGACATGGCCCGATCCGTTGGAGTTTAGGCCCGAGAGGTTCTTGGGCAGCCATAAGGACGTCGATGTGAGGGACTCCAACTTTGCGCTCCTACCATTTGGAGGCGGTAGGCGAATCTGTCCTGGAATAACTTTCGGACTCGAGATGGTGCATTTTCTTCTAGCTAGGTTCCTACATGCATTCGAGATATCAACCGTGGACGATTCGCCGGTGGATATGTCCGAGATCTTCGGACTGACAAATTTGAAGGCGACCCCACTTGAGGTTTTGCTCAGGCCGAGATTAACTCAGGAGCTCTATCAATTGAGGTAATGGAGAGATTACATATGAAAGGAAAGCTCTTTGAAATGTACAACTAAGTGAATTAATGTGTATGCACTGTCTCCATGCGTGGCTCTTAAAAGACATAATCACATATCTAGACTCTTCAGATTGAAGTTGCTGACCCCTGGAACATCACTTTGCATGAAAAGGGCTGATGCGTTCGTGATTGTAGTGCCATGTCAAATGTCACTACCATCGTTCACCACTTGCAAGCAATACCGAGTGACCCGTCGTGTATGGACTCATTCATGCTTTCCTTGCCCAAATGCCAATCCTCCAGGTTTAGTCGTCATCAATGAGATATGACCATTCAATCTCCATATAGCCGTAACATCGTTATCATGCATTGGATGATTGCAATGTATCTCTTCCCCGTCTGCTCTGCTTGGCCCTACTTACCTCTTTATCTCCTCACACGTACCAGCGCTTGCACAGGCGTAAATATTGAAAGATTCCAAACGGTTGAAAAATCAATCTTCAAGAACGAGGATGTGTGGTTCCTCAATTTTGATGCGGCTTTGTTGATATCCGTGAGTAATCTTTAGAGTCATGAATGCCATCCCATGAGTGGAGACTTACTTAATACATGTGGATGTGGTGATTTGCAATTGTTATTAAATTTCGTTGAGTCAAAAGTTTGAAGCACGGGCTATGAGAGAAAATATTGCGATAAAACCCAAATACTCCATTGACTTACCACATTTCTTCGCTTCTATCCACTTAATTTGATCACATTTCAACATTAATCTTTGAAAGTGGATGTTGGGTTGACAAGTGTGTGTGAGAGAGAGAATCAAGCTACTCGTGAGTACCTCGTGCTTGATTCGATGACTACTCAAGATTGACTAGCCTAATTTGGAGTCAAGCTAGCGTCCAAGCTATTTGAGTATCTTGTCTAGTCAAGCTCTATCCTATAAATAAGATCGTGATCCTAATTTAAGTTTGCATTATCTTTTTCTAAGACATTGAATACTTATAAATATAGACATAACATACTTAAAATTACATTATATTCGAGCTTATTAAGCTCGAGTCGAGTTTTATGTATAAGTCAAACATATTAAATTGAGTCAAGTTGTCAATTTTCTATCGAGTCAAGCTCAAGCAAGAAAATTAATACCCAATCAAGTTCGAGTCAAGTTTAGAGCAGTGCGCATATAAGTTGGGTCACAGGCAAGCTTCGCAGGTTATCTACTCGGCTCGGCTCAATTACACCCCTAGTGACGGGAAAGTTGAGGATGGAGGGAGAAAAGAGTACAGCCGGGGGTAGCTGTCAGCGACGAGGCGGTGGCTTGGCTCAAGGCTCCGGGTGGAGATGACAGCCATGGGTCTTGCGATGGATCGGTCTGGAGTGACAAATGATTAAATTTGGAAAGACAATGGTAGATCCGTAAAGAGCAAGAAAACCCCGATGCAACTCGAAGCGGGACCCCCGAAAGTAGGTATGGATGGTGTTTGATGTGTGTGCACAAAAACGAGGATGGTTTATGAAATTTCTCCCTTTTTTTCTGCTTTTTTGGTTACTTAAGTCGATCAATGCAATCTAGGAACACCAGCCACTGTTCCAGAAATAGACAAACTGGCTTAGAATATCTCCTTAAAGATTGGGCATGAGAAAAAAACGGCTGGGAGGCATGTGGTTAGGATCAGAAAATATTTCCCTCGTCTTGTTAGCCACTCTATCAAACAATAATCCCCCCCAAAAGGGGCGCTTCCTTGGTAATTCTATCGTTGATCTTTTTCCCTTCTGCATGAGAATTTCCTTCCGTAATAATATACTCAATTGAAAATATTTTCATTATTAATAATAATTTATATCTCAACATTTTTGTAAGAGACACAGCTGATCGTTTTTAGGAAAATATTTTCTAAATATTTCATTTTCTGCGAAGTGTTTATGAGGACTTGGAGATATCATGATCGATCTGTCACCAACATAAAGTCTTGGGAAGTTGACATACTTGGGAGGATCATTAGATGATTGATCACTTGTTATTCCACACGGTTTGACATTTCACAACATCAACAAACTGATAATAACAAGCACGTGCTACTATTGACTAGTAGGGAGCGTTATACCGCGTTGATATCAAGTCTTGAGAGATTCTGGCGAACATGTTTGCTTAAGGAGGATCGTTAGACATAAAGGATATAGCCATTGATAGGCTAAGAAACCACAGCAGAGGTGAGTTAGAGAACAGTTGACAATTATGATCAAACAATCAGCGGAATAGTAGATGTGATAGCTTCAGCAAACTCCGGATTTGGAAACCCTGCTATTGTTGCGGGAACATTTTGTATGGGAAATTGAGATCTCGGCAACTGCACCAATCAACATCCAACAGCTCCTAACTCTTCAAAAGAGTTTCCAAAGGTTGGATTAAATATGTATATAAGAAGAGGATCGAATAAGCTTTAAAAGTTTGTACGAAAAAGGAGTATACTAGCATTGTTCATTGTTATCTTTCACTGGTGATCAAATTGTAATTCTGTCCATCTGAAATTCTTTGTAGAGTTCTTGTTGGCTTGTAATTGTGATAAGATCAAATGTACAATAGTGATAGCAGTTCTTGTGCCCTAATAGTGTGATGTATTATTTGATAGGATCAATACATACTGATTATAACTCGTCTTAAAGATTACTAGTGAAATCCAACCCATGTTAAGGTTGTTACCTAGAGAGTGGATGACACTTGAGGATAAAGCCAAACCATTATAAATTGTTATGTGCTATCTTTAAATTGATGATTATTATTTGTATCTATTTGACAGACACTTGCACATATGACCTTTAATCTATTTATGATTAATGTCAAAATATATTTTGCTTCTTTTGCGAAATTTTTTCAAAGTGCTAAAAAAACCTATTCCCCCTCCCCCTTCTCCCCCTGTGATGCCCCAGAACATTAAGCGCAACACGTTTCTTTTTCGATTATATATGTAATTATTAATAGCATGCGGAAATGCAAGAAATATTCACATCATCCCATACAAAGGAGCCCACGAGTTTAATTAAGGAACGTATACTTCTTTTATTAAAATATTAGTAGATATCAACTTTATACAACGTCCAAGAAAAACACAAATTACATTAGTCCTGAGCAAGGGTCAGGGTCACCTATCACCAACACACCACTCCTATGCCCAAAAACCCGCGGGAAAAGTGCCAAAAAATTCCTAAACCTTTTACATCGGTGCCAATTTAGTCCTAACCCTTTTTTTGGTGCCAATTCAGTCCTAAACCTTTTGCATTGGTGCATTGGTTCCAATTTAGTCCTAAACCTTTTTTTTGTGCCAATTCAGTCATAAACATTTTGCATTGGTGCCAATTCAGTTCTAAACCTTTTGTCTTTGTGCCAATTCAGTCCTTTCGGTCAATTTTGGCCGGATTTTGCTAACGTGAACGCCGATCGACCGGCGGCCAGTCACCGGCGCTGACATGGACAACTTTAATAATAATTTTAATTTTTATTTATTTATTTTCTTTTTTCTTTTCTTTTTTTTTCCCCTCCTCTCCTTCCTTCCTTCGGCCGGTCGCCGGTCCGGCGACCGGCCAGAGGCCAACGCCGGCGAGGCTCGCCCTCGCTGGCCACTAGCGAGGGCGGCCTCGCGCTAGGCGAGACCTGACCTCGCCGGCCACTGGAGAGGGCGGCCTCGCGCTGGGCGAGGTCCGACCTCGCCAGATCCGGCGAGGTCATGCCTCGCCCAACCGTCGGTGAGGTCGGGCCTCGCCTAGCCATGGCGAGGCTCGCCTTCGCCGTCGCTGGCGAGGGCAAGCCTCGCCCAGCCACCGGCGAGGCTCAATCTCGCCAGATATGGCGAGGTCAAGCCTCACCCAGCGCGAGGCCGCCCTCGCCGGCGCCGGCCAGAGGAAGGAGGGAAGGGAGGGGAAAAAAAAGAAAATAAATAAATAAAAATTCAAAAAATATTAAAATATTATTAAAGTTGTCCACGTCAGCGCCGGTGACCGGCCGCCGGCCGGTCGGCGTCCACGTCAGCAAAATCCGGCCAATTTTGGCCGGAAGGACTGAATTGGCACAAAGACAAAAGGTTTAGGACTGAATTGGCATCAATGCAAAAGGTTTAGGACTGAATTGGCACCAAAAAAAGGTTTAGGACTAAATTGGCACCAATGCAAAAGGTTTAGGACTAAATTGGCACCAAAAAAAGGTTTAGGACTAAATTGGCACCAAAGCAAAAGGTTTAGGACTTTTTTGACACTTTTCCCAAAAACCCGCTTGTACAAAAGTCAAGCTATTCGCTACAAGGCGACAACCTCGCCCATCAACATGTCGCCTTCACTATCAAAGCCCCTCAATGGTCCAACCAACTCACCGTCGATATTTCAATATCAAGCGACAAATTGATGGGGAATCCACTCTTGAAACCCCACGTCGACCCATACGGTAGAATTACACTTATTATATACTGCCGCTGATCCAAGCACAAGCACATCTTGATATTTACAATCAAAGTACATGGGAGTTGGCAGTGGGAGGTCCATCCTACAAGTCTGTAAAAAGAAAGGGGTGAGCCAAACTCAATAAATGAAATTTCTAAGTCTAAGTTAAGATCCTCTTACCTCTCAACCCAGTACCAATTAATAACGTGAGTTCTAGATAAGTGCAAAATAATCATGTATGACTAATGCAGATGTAAATGCAGTAACTTTCCTATCATGAAATGCCGATGGAAAACATTGAAAACATTAACAACATTATGCAAGCGGATGACATACTATTTCATGATGCGCAGATAGCACATGGTAGCTCACCGATATATACAGGTGAGTTTTAAACTCCTACACGTCACTGGCCAGGATCTATCTTAACTCACGAGGCATCTCGATCGTCGAGGCATCGTCACCACCAATTCATGAGGGACGAAATCATATATACCCATTTGATACATCTTTGAGCCCATCCATTATGGGTGTCTTCTACATCAGTGAGGATAAATACACCACTGTATATCTACATGATGATGGTCATATCTTACATTATACCATGGCTACACAAGCCGAGTCATCATAAGATTTCATGTCATCTCAATTTTGTAGAGAACCGTTTCATACGGTAAAACATTCGCTCGGTAGCAGATAGGTCATGGCAAATGTCTTTATCATGTGGTATCAAAGGCATACACACCATTACAACACAACAATTGCCATATGCATCACAATAATTTGTCATTTCTCATGAAATTAATGATAAATAAATAATTAAAAATTCGTACTGAGTTCGGGACATGTTAGGCTTCTAGTTCAAACTAATCTGGTTTGGATTTGCACATCTAAAAGGGGTGAGCCATCTCCCTAAGAAAATATTAGGTAGGTTTATCTTGTCATGTTAATGATAGAACACTTCATTAAGCTCTTGCTATGTGTTCATACGGAACCACTTTTTATGATTTTTTAAATGCTTCATCTTCTCTGTTCCCCTATCTCTCTTTCCTTTGTTACTCTCTTCTCATCCGTACATCAAACACCATCGCCAACCCTCTATCACTTCAAACCAAAAACACCAAAAGTTCCATTCACTGCCTTTTCTTCTTCTTCTATCCTCTCAGCTACGAGGCCAAGAAAATGTGGGGCTGTGGAAAGGGAGGCAAGGGGTTGGCGTGAAGAGGACCTTCCACGAAGCCGGCATTTCGGCGGCTGGCCCACCGTGGGGGAGTGAAGTGGACTAGTGGGTTGATCTACGAGAAGACGTGCGGGGTGTTGAAAATTTTCGTGGAGAACGTGATCGCAACTCCTTGACCTACAAGGAGCAGGCACTCCAAAAAAGGTGGACCGCCATGGATGTGGTTTTACGAGGGTTTTTGTTTGTAGTTAGTGATATAGTTGTAGATTTGTAATGAGTTTTGTGTTTCAAATAAATGAACTTGTGGGGTTTTTGGTTCGATATATAATGGGATCTATATTTCGGTAAATAGAATATCAGTTTAAGTTTTTCAATTTTGCTTTCTACTCGTGTTTTGGGATGAGTTTTGGCGTTCTATTGCTGCTTTGGAATGATGGTTTTGGAGGTGTGCGAAGTTACGAGGAAAAAAAAAAACTTATTATAATACATGGATTCAAACAGAGTTGGATTCAGTGAGCATATTTGTGAACTCGAACTCAAAGCTTGAAGCAATAGGTTGAGCTAATAAAGTCACGTTAGAGTAAGCAAATTGGTGACTATTTCAAAAGGGAGGAAGAAGAAAAGAGCATGAGAAGGGAGAGAAAAATGGAAAATAGAGTAAAGGAAGAGAGCGAGTAATGGAGAAGGGGAAGCATTTAAAAAAATCTCGAAGAGTAACCTCTATGGACAAGTGAAGTAAACTGAATAGACTAGTTTTTTACTGACGTGGCAAGACAGATTTACTAAATATTTTTTTATATAAACGCCAGTGAGATTGATATGGAGAGAGTGAGTGGAGGAGGGGAGGGTGACAGTGGCCCCACTTTGGACAAGTCCCAATCACTTAAGTGGTACATAGTACGTCGGGACCCAATATTTTCTCTAGAAGGCTCCGTTCGTTTGGCGGAAAATATTTTCTCGGAAAATATTTTTCGGATTTTTCGGTGTTCGGAGGGCGAAAAACGTTTTTTGTGGGAAAATATTTTCCTACCCCCCTCACAAAATAGCCTAAGTCTACGGAAAATGATTTCCGCTTCTTCAAAAGCGGAAATCATTTTCCGGAGCTTCTTCTTCTTCTTCACTAAGGTCGCCGGCCGCCGCAGCCGGTCGCCGGCCGCCGCGCGCCGCCGTCAACGCCGGTCACCGGCGAAAAATATTTTTCGAAACTTTTTCATATTGATCGCCGAACACCGGAAAATTATGTTCCGGAAAAATATTTTTCAGGAAAATGACTTCCGGAAAAATATTTTTCAAAAGGAGAATATTTTTCGCCAAACGAACCGAGCCGAAATGCCGACGAATGTGGCCAACAGGGTTAGCTGTCGTGCATTGAGGAGAATTTAGGAAGCATATACTCCAATTCAATCTTATCTTCTCGATTGAAGGGTCTGTTGTGATTTGACGTCCAACAAATGTATGCTCCCCGTGAATCTAATGAAAGGTCTTGAGTAGTTTTCCTGACCCCGAGAAAATCGTAAAAAATAGAAGAAATAAATCAGAAAGTAAATCGAATTTCAAATTCATGGGATATACTTTTTTCAAATCGGAATAAATTGTTGACTCTATTAGTGAGCAGTTCATTCTTAATGCCCCAATGTACTTTCTGCTTGGAAGCTTGAACTTCACCAATCTGGTTGGGGTCCTTGTGATTCTTGCTCTATCGTTCCTTGTGTTATGGAGATCAAGATCATCATCATCGAGCAAGCTCAAAACAGCACCAGAAGCTGCAGGTGCATGGCCCGTGATAGGCCACTTGCCCATTCTAGCAAAATCCAAGCTTCCCCACAAGACCTTAGCATCCATGGCCGACGAGTTCGGACCCATCTTCGCCCTCAGGCTCGGGTCGTTTCCGGTCGTGGTGGTGAGCAGTTCTGAGATAGCCAAAGAATGCTTCACCAAACATGATGTCGCCTTCTCCTCTCGTTCGCGGCTTCTGTTCTTTGAAATTCTGGGTTATGACTATGCCTTGTTCGCGTTCGCTCCCTACGGTCCGTACTGGCGCGAGGTGAGGAAAATCGCCACCTTGGAGCTGCTCTCTAACCGGAGGATCAAGTCATTGCTCAACCCGGTACTGGCCTCTGCGACGGATCTCGCCATTAAAGAGTTGCACAGGCTTTGGAGTGAGAAGAAGGATGATTCAGGTACATCAGTTTGGTAATGATCCATTTTAACAACAACGTAGCTTAGAGTGAAGAAAGTCAAGCGTTCTATGGGAGCAACATCGAAGGCACTCAAGTGGACCAATAAGTACGAAATAAGTCTTATAGCAAACGATTTTTACTGAGACGTCTTATGCGTTGTGTTCGTAATCTAAGTTCTCAAAATTTCTTCCAATCGACCTCACTACCAAAACCACCCATACCCACTCTCCCTTCCTCCTGCTGTCGCCAACAGCCTGCGTTGGCGCCCATCATCGTATTTCTCTCTCTTCAAGTCTGGTCAGGAGGGGCTCAAAAGCCAACCCCGCGACCTAAGGCCGGGGTCCTGGACCTCGGGCGACCTCAGATCCAAGGTCCCCGGAGGTCATGTGGAGATCGAGAGTTGCAGAGGCGATGGAGGGATGAGTAGGGCCTGTGTGGCGGTGCTCGCTAGCTCGACGAGTACCAAAGATCTTTTATGTTCTTTCTTGGAAAGCTTAAGAAAAACAGCATAAGCCTTGTCATATAACGTCGTGTTTGCTCCTTGTCTAACACAGGCCGTATCTTGGTAGACTTGAAGCAATGGTTTGCGAAGCTGACTCTGAATGTGATCCTTAACGTTGTAGCCGACACGGGCCACTACAGCAGCACTGCCAAGATGGATGAGGAAGAGGAGCAGCGGTGCCACGAGGCAGTGAGGGAGTTCTTCCGTTTGATGGGGACGTTTACAGTGGCGGATGCTCTGCCTTTCTTGCGGTGGCTTGATTTGGGTGGGCATGAGAAAGCCATGAAGAGGACTATGAAAGAATTGGACACAATCCTAAGTAATTGGTTAGAGGAACACAAAAGGAAGAAGAAGGTCGACTTGGACAAGTCTCAGGGTGATCGAGATTTCATGGACGTCATGATTTCAACTCTTAACGGCATGGATATCGCAGGTTATGATGCTGATACCATTGCCAAAGCCACATGCTTGGTATGCTTAATATCTTCCCTCCCCTTTTCGATGGAGCTGTGGTTTCTTCTTAAATGCTGATCACGGTGCAAAACTACATACATGTGTCTTTTGCATTAGGAAATTAGCTGCGCTCTTCCTTAATCATCTTTTTCCCAACTTCTGTAACATAATAGAAAAACTACATAAAAATAGAATTTTAACACAATTTGTCAACGTCTCTTTCTATGCGTCGTAGATATCACAGCACAGTTGATAATGGCGTCTCTTTCCCAACCGAGGGACTTCAATTATTTGCCTGTGATCTAACATTTGTGAAAGGGAGGACTATAAGTTAAATGGATACATATCACATAAAAAATATGTGCAGGACAAATGCATTAACTAATAGGGCTCGATAAGATATAGATATTTCAAGCCTTCTAAATGAAAAGTTATTACATGGTTTATTAATTATATGGATCAACATCATAATGAGTATTTGATTATATGAGTATTATTATGGAGTCTACATGATGATGATTGAGATAGATTTGATTTACACAGTCTATAGACCATACAATATTTTTTTTTAAACGAGATTTATGTAAGTATTAGCCTATTACTGGTGACTGAGGATAGCATTCATGTCTCGGAGGGGGCCAACAGTGTCGTCGCATTTTTCACCACAGTTTTGGTGTAACTTCTTATAATAAACTGTGAAGTTTCACATAAAAAAAGAATATTCATTTCACCGCCCCTGCTGTCGAACTAAACTTTACCAGACAACTTTTTATCCTACCACTTAATCTGCGCTCCATGCATCCTCCACTGTACAGTTTGATGTTAAAAAAGAATATGCAAAGGGAATGCGAATATAGACTTTCATGTAATTAGCCTTCCATGTCTCACTTCTAATAAGACATATGTTAATGTTTTTTATTTTCCTTTTTGGAAGGCGATGATAGCAGGAGGTAGCGATACAACCATGGCCACCCTAACATGGGCGATCTCTCTGTTGTTGAACAACCTCCCCATCCTAGAAAGAGTTCAAGGAGAACTTGATAATCACATTGGCAAGCAAAGACATCTGATCGAGTCGGACATCGCCAACTTAGCCTTCCTCCAAGCTATAGTAAAGGAGACCCTCCGCCTATACCCAGCATCCCCCCTCTTTGGACGCCAATCCACTGAGGATTGTATCATTGGTGAGTACCATGTGCGCAAAGGCACGAGGATGATGTTCAACTTATGGAAAATCCAAACCGATCCCAGGCTGTGGCCTGACCCTTTGAAGTTTCAGCCAGAGAGGTTTTTGAGTAGCCATAAGGATCTCGATGCAAAGGACCATAATTTTGAGCTCTTGCCATTTGGAGGTGGTAGAAGAATTTGTGCTGGAATGTCCTTTGCACTCCAGTCGCTGCATTTTGTCTTGGCTAGGTTCTTGCATGCGTTCGACGTTTCTACTCCTGGCAATTCCCCAGTGGACATGTCCGAGGATTTTGGAGCAACCATAAAAAAGGCAAGGCCACTTGAAGTTATGCTGGCACCAAGATTACCTCGTGAGTTGTACGACTCAGTCTAGAGCGTGAAATGATGAAGAGTCTGTTAGAATACGCTAATTGGAAGTACTAGTTGAACGAACGAGTATGGGCTTTGCGTATTTAGCTCAGAAAGTCATTCGCATTCACACATCATGGACAACGGTGACTTTGATCTTGTATGTTCTTCCTACATTAATGGAATAGTGGTAGTTCTTCATATAAGTCTTAGGGTTTATTTCATTATTGTGTTAAGTGCTGAAAATCGGTATACTTATTATTAATGTCATCTCACTTGTATACTGACGCTCAATTACTGGTGGTGATGTGATTAAAAGCCAATACCAATGATTCGGAATTATAATTGGACGAATTGGTTGGATTGGCTATCGGTATCTAGTTCGGTCTAATACATATAACTAGGTGTTCGACTGACTATTGGCGTTAAGAAAATTAAGTACAAGGAGTGACAAGTCAAGGTTTCGATCTTCAAACCTCATAGGAACAACTATAAAGCCTAGTCAGACTATTGACATATATGTACCATCCAGGGGTTGAATTGGTAAAAAAAATAAGAGGTGACCCAATTCTAAATCAATACCAAGTCTAAATCGATTCGATTCAAATTAAAATTGGTGCATTGGAGCCAATTACATTACCTGAAATCCACAAAGAAACATTACGGAGAATTTAGAAGGGATTTGCCATTTTTGGCTTAGTAAAGGGACTATCGAGCGAGTTCGCAAAAGCAGTTTGGTCTATCCTGGGCAATTAGTTTCCAAGCTAAGAGCAACATTTGTGACGGCTACTTTGACCTATACGAAGTCTCCAACATGGTGAGGAAGCTTGGCGGGCTATACGTGTACGTGAAAGTGAGAGTGAGAGTCGAAGGTAGCCATTGGGATTAAATGGCTCATAAAATGATCGTCTGATGCTTATTCTTAACAGAGTAAGCGAGTAAGTATAATGGTTCGAATATCGCCTCGATAATTGACTCAGAACAGACAATATATACATATACAAGCGCAATTTTGTTCGTAAAGAAATAAGTTTCATTTCAGTGTTTGAAATTGAATTCTCCTCAGAACGATCGTATAAATTACTAATTAATTGTCATAGATTATAGACAAAAGCGCACAATGAGATATAAGTCTACACTGAAATTGTGGCATTAACTGATTTAGAAATATTGGCACGGAGAATCTTGGGAAGAACTACTTGGGCTCCGTCGAATTGTACCAAGTCAATTTGACAAAACGAAAAAGTACAACAAAGAAATTGACAAGTGAACGAACAGAAACTGACAAATCCTGGGTAATGCTCAAAATGAGCCCACGAAAAGTCATATACGTGGGCCGAACTGGACCCCACCCATCCTCCCCCCGGCAACTTTTTCTGCGAGACAAAGGCCGCAAGGAGGAGTTTCTCAAGCTTCATTTCTCCCACTATTTGTTTTGCATAAACGAGCAATTTAAAAAATATTTTTAAAAACGATTATTTGTATTATTTATAAAAAAAAATAAGTAAAAAATATTATTATTATACAAGAAAATATTTAGATATATATTATTATCGATAAAAAAAATATAAACGATCATTTAAAAAATACTTTTTAAATTTTTAGTTTTTGGGAAACAAACGAGAATAATCTATTTGGACCGTACGAAATTCAGAATCACGTGTGGGCCAACTGCTGGATTTCTAATCGCAACATCAGTCTCCCCGGGGCCCACACTGGGAAATCTACTTTTGCTTATCGAAGTCGGATCAGTAGAGCCGCCCCGGTGCTGAATTTTCAACCATGAACCAAAAAAATATGTACATGTATGTAAATTTGACTTATCCCTTTGAGGTCGCTCAAACCAGTAAGCAATGCACAAACAAACGAATCTGAACATATCGTGTTGACATTAGCAACGTGTTGATATGCTCAATTAAACACCTCTCGTATTATATTAATGGGGTATTCGAGATTTCTTGAGTATCCTACAGATCTCCTTCGGATATGATAATGACCCACGGGATCAGTATTATTAGAGATAATTCCTCGAAAATGTACAAATATGATGATTCATACTTAAACTTCAAGTTAAGAGGACAAACATTAATCATATTATCCAAGACGATAATATAATTATAGTCAGTAGCGAATAAAATCTATCTTCATAGATTTCCGCTACCCAACATGGAGAAACCAGCACAGACACTGGACCCACCCACGAATTTTCAATGCTTTTTTCGTCTTTTGCAGTATGTATGGAGCTTGAAACACTCCAGTGCATCACAACCTTTTTCCTCGGTGCTTCTGCACGTTATACGCAGCAAAAATGGACTCCCTGCTTCAAGACCTCTCCCGCTTGTCCGGAATAATCCTAGCCATCCTCGTCCTATCAATCTTTGTATTATTCAAATCGACATCATCAAGCAAGCTCAAAACACCACCAGAAGCCCCAGGGGCATGGCCCGTCATAGGCCACTTGCCCATCCTAGCGAAATCCAAGCTTCCCCACAAGACCTTAGCGTCCATGGCCGACCAGTACGGACCCATCTTCACCATCCGGCTTGGGATGTTCCCGACCCTAGTGGTGAGCGGTTCTGAGATGGCCAAGGAGTGTTTTGCCAAGAACGACGTCGCGCTGTCCACTCGGCCGCGGCAATTGGCCCAGAAGATCCTGGGCTACTCCTACGCCATGCTCGTGTTCGCGCCTTACGGCCAGTACTGGCGCGAGGTGAGGAAGATGGTCACCTTGGAGCTGCTCTCGAGCCGGAGGATCAACTCCTTGCTCAACCCTATTCAGGCCTCAGAAGCGGACGTGGCCATCCGGGAGCTGCACAAGCTTTGGATTGAGAACAAGGATGATTCAGGTATTCTTCTGATACTGGTGGTCATTCAATATGTGGTTTTGGTGGTTCTTGATGATAGGCCCTTCCATGGTTGTACTAACTATTTTCCTTTTTTATCGATGAACACCGGTCGTTTTCATAGTATATAAGGTCATGAAGATGATCACATTTAGAATTTTCGGGTCAAGTACTCTTCTCTAGATTAAGGGCGAGTCGAGCTTTGCACTTTTTTATGGCGTCCATACCGGAAGACATAGAAAATATGATGCTTGGCCGATCTTAGTCACGGTTTAGAAATGACTATTGCGTGCTTGACACACGAAATACAGATTCGGTTCTTCTAGCAATCAAAGCAAATACAATCGATACCATACTAAGGTCACACACATCTCGATCTCGATTCGCATATTTCTTGGTTCATAATTCTTGAGACTATGAGGGTATTTGCTCCATCACCCAGCCATAGGCTTTTTTGTCATAGAAGAAACTGGGATAAGTATCAAAAAAGAATTCAAAACTTATTGTACAGATGTCTATTCAATCATAAACCTTTCAATTTGGTCGATTTAGTCCTAAATTTTTTAACGGTTTGCCAATATAGTCCTCCCAGCCAATTTTGACCCAAAAATCGTTGACGTGAACAACGGACGTCCTATGCGGCACAGTTAGCTTTGACGTGAACAACTTTCTCAATCTTTTAAAAATAATTTATCATTTTTCTGAATTATCTTTTATTTGTTTATATTCTTTTTTCCTTTTTTTTTCTTTGCTTTTTTTCACCATGATTGGAGAGGGTCTCTAAGGGTCTGTTTGGCAACTTGCCAAATAGTGTTTGATTCGGTTCTTTTGTTCCCAGAATCAGCTTGGGAACAGAAATCCGTTTGTTAAAATTTTTGTGCCCGGGCACAATTTTGCCAAAAATTGATCCCAGAATCAGTTTTGGAACAGAATCAAGAATAAAAAAAAAATAGCTTCTTGATTCTGGGAACAAAAATGAGAATTAATTTTTTTTTCTTATTCTTTTTCTTGATTTTTAATGTAGCTTCTAATGTCCGGTACGAGGGCCACCCTCGCAGTATATGGCGAGATTAAAATATTTTAATAAAAAAATGTTATTAATAAAAAATATTATTAATAAAAAAATATTTTACCGGACATAAAAAAAATTATTTTACCAGCCATGGCTAGCGACTAGGCCATGAAAAAAAAATATTATTAATAAAAAAAAATATATCGGCCATGGCCGGCGACCAGGCCATGGCAAAAAAAAATAAATAAAATATTTTAATAAAAAATATTATTAATAAAAAAATATTTATAAAAAAAATATTTTACCGGTTATGGCCGGCGACCAGTCCATGGCAAAAAAAATAAAAAAATATTTTCAATAAAAATATTTTAATAAAAAAATATTTTATCGGCCATGGCCAAAAAAAAGAAAAAAATATTATTAATAAAAAAAATTTGCCGGCCATGGCCAAAAAAAATAAAAAAATTATTTTTAATAAAAGTATTATTAATTAAAAAAATATTTTACCGGCCATGGCCAAGGAGGAGAAGAAAAAAAGAAAAGAAAGAAATATTAAAATATATAAATATATTATTAAAATATTATTAATAAAAATAAATTTTATGCCGTTACCAAACACATTTCTGTTCTTTTACTATTTCAGGAATAGAAATTTTGGGCCGTTACCAAATGCCTTTAAATGCTCATAATCAGTTCCCGGGCACAGAATAAAAAAGAATCATTTCTGACCAGAATCTGATTATGGGCACAGAATGGTTGCCATGCGCAGCCTAAGGCTCACCAGCCATTGGGCAAGGGTCGCAAAGTCCTCCCTAGCTGCAGGCAAGACCATGGCGAGGCCTCCTTACCCAGATCATGGTGAGGCCCTTGCCTACAGTCGGCGAGGCCTTCAACTATAGCGGCCCTCACCCGTGGCCAACATAGGCTTTGCTTTCCTTACCCAATGGCTGGCAAACTCCATCAACCATCACCGGCCAAAGTGAAAAAGAAAAAGAGAAGAAAGAAAGAAAAACAAGAAAAGAAAAAGAAAGGAAGAGAAAGAAATAAAAAAGATTCATAAAAAAATTTAAAAAAATTGTCCACATTAGTCTGGGTAGTGCCACGTAGGATGGGCAATGTCCACATCTTCAATTTTCGGCTAAAATTGATTGGAATGACTACTTTGACAAATCGTCAAAAGGTTTATAACTAAACTGACAAAATTGAAAGGTTTAGCATTAAATGTGTATCCTTACAATAGGTTTAGGAATTTTTTTGGCAATTTTCCCAAAGAAACTAGATTGAATGATGCAGGAGATCAATGAAGTATTGTCCAAGATTGGGCATCCGTTTCATCAATTCTTTTAGTTCATGAGAGTAGTCGAAACTTCAATTCAGCATATAACGTCTAATTCATTCTGATTTATTAGGCCATGTCACAGTCGACTTGAAGCAGTGGTTTGCAAAGTTGACTCTGAACGTGATCATCAGGATCGTGGCCGGAAAGCGCTACTCCGCGGCGGACGAGGAAGAGGAGCAGCGGTGCCAAAAGGCGTTACGGGAGCTCTTCCACTTCTTTGGGATGTTCTTAGCGGCAGACGCTCTTCCTTTCCTGAAGTGGCTGGACTTAGGTGGACATGAGAAGGCCATGAAGAGGACTGCAGAAGAACTGGACGACATCATTGGTGGTTGGTTGGAGGAACACAAGAAGAATAATAAGGATTTGAGTGAGACCGACGGAAGCAGAGATTTCATGGACGTCATGCTTTCGGTCCTTAACGACGATGAAATTGGAGGTTATGATGCTGATACGGTTATAAAAGCTACATGCTTGGTAAGTATTTGTCCGCGCCCCGTTGGTGCAGTCTTTTCTTCTTCATAATGCTAGTTGCCGACATATCAAGTAGTCGGGGGGGGCGATTGTCCATAGGTTTAGTTGATTTCAACTGGGGCTGAGAATGGTTCGGGTGATCCAGTTATAGAGTTGGAACCATATAAATCTTACAGGGAGGGAGGGGTTCCAATAAACTTGGAACTGAGAACCGGACCGATTCACCGTAGAACGAAGCCTAAAATCGAATCGGTCCAAGCTGGTCCTGGGTAGAATTGCGAACTAGTCTAGTCCTAAAAATCACATTGAAATAATCAAGTTTGATAATTAAAAAGTACTTAGATTGGAAATCAAGTAAGTTAGAGAACCTAATTTGCAGAGAAGCAAAAGCTCGAGCACTCAATTTGGAAAGCTGCACAAATAAGAGGGGCTAAAGTTGCACTAAAGTTTATTCTTGTATGATATTGTGGGCCTATCTTCATTTTTAAATTAACATCAGCCTCCCTAATTTTTTATTCTTTATTGGACCAGATCACCATATTTT